TTAAAATTTTAAATATTCGAAATAGAAAGTTACTATTTCTAATCAATTTGATTATTTTATTTTATTTTTAATTTTCAGGAATATGTCTACAACAGGCTCCAATTCAGGTACAATCATTTGCATCTAATTTTTATTAGGTAGCAGAACATTTCAAAATTAAAGTGATTTTTTTGGGGGCTAATTAAAGCAGGGTGGATGATCTTCATTCTTGCAGCTATGGGTGGTACTTCACATTTGTTCAAGGATTTGTCTATCTTTTTCTGATTTACCTTCAAGGCTTCACCCCAAAGCAAATGGCGAACCCATGGAAGACTTATGTCAAGCTCTCTGCAGTCCTCATGGGTTCCCATGGCCTCACCAAAGGCTCTCTGGCTTTTCTCAATTACCCAGCTCAGCTCATGTTCAAATCCACCAAGGTAATTAATTACTTGGCATTTCTTCAAAACAACTAACAGTTAAGGACAAAGGAGTTTTCTTGAGTTTTGTAAGTCCTCTGTTTTTACTTCCTCAAATGACTTGCTCTGTTTCAGGTCCTGCCCGTGATGGTAATGGGTGCTTTCATTCCTGGATTGAGAAGGAAATACCCAGCTTATGAATACGTGTCTGCAGTGCTTTTAGTTGTGGGTTTGATCCTCTTCACCTTAGCAGACGCCCAGACATCCCCTAACTTCAGCGTCATCGGCGTTCTGATGGTCACCGGAGCTCTGGTCATGGATTCCTTTCTGGGTAACTTGCAAGAAGCCATCTTTACCATGAATCCCGAAACAACACAGGTAGTTTCCCCGTAAAGTTAAATCCATGAAAATGTTGTGACTTTACATTCATATTTTTCTCCTTTTTTTATCTTCAATTCACAGATGGAAATGCTGTTCTGCTCGACCGTTGTGGGTTTACCTTACTTGATCCCACCCATGCTTTTAACAGGAGAGTTGTTCAAAGCATGGAGTTCATGTTCTCAGGTAGAGATTATCCCAAAATTCCTCACTTTTCCATTTTTCCCGCATGGTTTCCATCACCTTTAATAGATGCCCTGTTTTGGTCCAAGCAGCATTTATACGTCTACGGTGTTTTAGTCTTCGAAGCCATGGCTACCTTTGTCGGCCAAGTCTCAGTCCTCTCCCTAATTGCCATTTTCGGCGCTGCCACCACTGCCATGGTACAAAACCATTAATGAAACTTAAATGTTTAAGTTAATAAAAATTAAATGAACATAAACTCGATTTTAAATCGTCTTGAAATTTTGCTACAGGTAACAACGGCAAGGAAAGCGGTGACATTACTGTTATCCTACTTGATATTTACTAAGACGTTGACGGAGCAGCATGGAACAGGGCTTCTGTTGATTGCCATGGGGATCACGTTGAAGCTTTTACCGGCGGACAACACCAAACCCTACAAAAGGATCCCCACTTTACTTGCATCCAATAAGGAGAAAACTGAAACCCCTTGTTCAATTCATGAGGAGCAGAGGATTCGAACGGAAATTGAAGTTGAAAATGAACAGAAGAAGCCTTTCGTTTAGATGTTAGTCATTTGTATGTATTAGAGTAGGGATCCACTCAATATAGGTTTAAGAAACTTTTATACTCATTTTTAGCCTCAATTTAAATGTTACTTGTATAAAAAAAAAGATAATAAATGTTGCATTAAATAGTAAAAATTATCGTAACATTTATAGTGTGTAAATAATAATTGGGTAGCAATGATTTGTTGGTCAACTAAAAGGAAGTGATTCTCCTTAATTAAGATTTTAAGTTCAAGTTTTATAAATAAAAAAACAAATGTCAAAAGAGCTTTCCTTTAAATAGGATTTAATGTGATTTAATTTTAAATTAATCAAAATTCAACGTGGTTATTGAATACCATGAAAATAGTACAAAAAAAATATCGATTGGATTTTTTTAACCCATGTGTTTAGGTACAAGTTAATAATATTTTTTTATTATAAATATATAAAAAAAATATATAATTAATATTAATTTTAATTTTAGTGTTAAATGAATAATTTAATTAAACAATTCATAAATCAAATATTGATTTGTATTTTTAATATAAATTTTTTATGAAAAAATTATATTTAATGTTTTTTTAACTTATACTTTTAATGCACAAATTAAATAAACTCATAATAATTTACCGTTAAAAGTTTGAAATAAATTATTGAATTAAGGTAATATTTATAGCGTGTAAGTTGTAGTTTAGTATTTTTTACTTTCACTTTATCCTACAATGAAAAAATTTACTTTGGTTAATGTTTTTTCATTTGTTTTTTTCCCTCGGGCTTTGATGCAATTATAAAAAAAGTAGCAGTTTTCCTCCATGTCCTCCAATAATGAATCAGCAGATTCCGGTAACCAGGTGTGAATCACCGTCCAGGCATGGCTGTACACGTGGAGCGGTGGTCTTTGATTCTTCAACGTAGTTCTTTTTTATATGGAGCATCGAAGCAGTAAAATGACACTGAGGCAGAGATTTCGGGCGATGCAGGTAATGAGACCAAGAAGCCGCTGATGGCAAAGTCATAGAAGAGAGAGTTTGTCAAAGGGAGACATGGTGAGATGGTGAAGAAGAGCATTGTGGAAGCTGGGCGTCAGGGCATTTCAATTGCTTTTCTTTCCATCAGAAATTAAAAAAAATTGTTTTCAAGATTCAAATGGTCAAGGTTAACGTTGAAATTGGATATCGTTAGTACCATTTCATTGCAAGGACTCAAACCGAAAATTTAAAGGAGCATAGGGACGTGCAGTATAATTTTGAAGCAACTAGTAAGGAACAGTAATGAACAAAATTCTAAAGAACAGGGATGTCCATTTGAACAATATTTTTGTCCCAATAATCTTCTTTTTACATTTTAGATATTATAATTTTTCGCCATTACTACTGTTCAAAAAGTTTCACTTTTGACTAACACTTTAAAAAATTTTAGGTTAAAATACCATTTTGCCCTCTTAACTTTTTATTTTAGTATTAAAATTATCCTTAAATTTTAAAAAGTACTAAAATTGTCCATAAATTTTCGTTTTCGGTATAAAAATGGTTCTTTCGTTAATAAAAGTGCTAAGTGGCATGTTAAATCGCGAGAAAATCCAAAGTTTTTTTTAAAAATAATGATGTAGAAAAAAAAAAAGGTGATATTGTGGCATTTTAATCACATTTTAATCTCTAACAGTAATACTCACCGTTTTACTATAACTTACATACATCTTATAAACACAAGAAACTTTAAATACAATCTCCAAGTTGTCAGCCCCTTTTTCTCTTGATTTTTCTTGATCTCTATTTCTAGCGACTTTAGCTTCTTCAACCATCTCGACCTCCACCAAATCACCTTCCACTCTTCTTTAGATTTCCAACTATCACCAACGAGGGGTTGGATCATGTGGTAAGCGGCTTGTTCCAGCTTAAGCAAGGTCTCGAGTTCGAGACCTTGTGTATGCAGCAGCCTCTGCTGGGAGACTCACCCACCATTTCCAGGTGCGCGACGCAGGTTAGGTCTGGATTAGTCGGGGCGAAGCCCCGGATACCGAACGAGAAACCAAAAACAAACCAAAAAAAAAAAAGATTTCCAACTATCGTCACTTCTTGAATGCTCTATCATCTTAGAACCATCAATGCATCAGCACCTTCTGATTTTTCATCGTTATTTTCTCCTCAATTTCCTTGAGAATCTGTCCCTCATCATCATCCTATTCGTATCTTGGTGAGTGTTGAAATGGAGATTCGGTGACATTAAGTGGCTTTTACCTACAATCCAGCGTCTCCAATAGCCCCAATTCTACACCCATCGATGCAAGGCAATCTCTAACATGTTCTCTAATCTTCTCATTCATCTCTAAATTTGGTGTGCTTTCAAGGCTTGTTTGCCTTTTGAACCTTTGCCTCTTGGATTAGCTATATTGAGAACCTAAGTCTGGATTTGAGAACCCAAATCTGAGGTTGAGAACCCAACAAATCGGTAAGGAAGGAAGAGAGGAAGAAGAAGGGAGAAGAGAGAGAGAAAGAATAAGAACAAGAGAGAAGAAGGATAAGAAGGGAAAGGGAGGAGGAAGGTTGATGGAGAAATGAGGGGCAAACTGCTAAAGGATTGAGAGAGAAGAAGGAGGGAAGAAAGATTTATTTATTTATTTATTTTAGGGTTGGATTAGTTGGAAAGTTATGAAATTTGATTTGAAATGATAAAAAGTGTCAAATTATAAAAAAAATGACTTGAAATTTGCGCATGGATTTTTTCATAATTTAATGTGTCACTTGTTTCATAATTTAATGTGTCACTTGATACTTCCGTTAACGAAATGATCATTTTGGTATTAAAAATGAAAGTTTAGGAATAATTTTGATACATTTTGAAGTTTAGGGACAATTTTAATACTAAAATAAAAAATTAAGGGGCCAAAATAGTATTTTAACCAAAATTTTAAGATCTTATTGTCAATAAAGTGAAATTACTAATGAGTTGATTAAATTGTTTACAATAATTATGATTATTTTAATCTTTATTAATATGGAAAAAAGGAAAAAAAGAATCCAAAAAAAACCCGCTGGCGCTAATTAATTAATTAATTAGTACTAATTACTAGCAATTTACCATCGTTGTTCCAAAAAAAGAAAAAAAAAAAAGGGAGGAGGTAAAAACAGAAGAAAAATTAAAGCAATCGCCACGATGCTGGAGATGCGACAGACGCGGTAAAGTGGAATTCAAGAATCTCCTTCTTCTCTCTTCCCGTTCCTACCCTCACCCTTTCTTCTTCAGATCTGTGAAAATCAGCGGAAGAAACGTCCGTGGATACTCAGCTGCGTCGTTGTTTTCCGACTGGTAATCCGACGCTTCTCTTTCTCCTCAATTCTCCTTTTTCCGATCTGAACTCATCTTCTCACCTTCGATCTCACGGCTAAGCCATCATCTCTCCCATCGCAGCATTGCATTATCGTCAGCTATTCTTCCTTTCCTTTTCATTTTTGTGCCTTACTTGATTGCTGGTAATCAATAGTTCGTGTGATCCAATAGATATTTCGTTTTTGATGTTAACTGATTTCCAGATTCGCGATGTGCTGTAGTTTTAAAATTTTGAATTAAGCCGAATATGATTCATTGTTTGAGAATTGATCCTTGGTGTTGTTTGATGAGAATTGAAATCTTTTGTTGCAGGATGTGATTGAAGTTAGTTAGAATCAGGTCTTTTCTGGACATTCCTCATGTTTGAAGGTCCTGCAGCATCTAATAGTCCTCATCTTCGCAAGCCAGGCAGTAAAGCTGTTAGCCCGGACCAAGGTAAATTATATTGGTCATGTTTTGTGAAGAGTAATCATGACTTGTTTACATGTTTACTTTTGTTGGATTTATGCAATGTATATTTTTGAATCTGTAGCATTGTAATTGAATAAAAGCATGAACTTGTTTGAGAAAATGCATCAAGTTAATTGCTCTATTAACAAAAAGTTGGAATGGATGTTCCACTATTAAGCAAAAGGCATTACCAGTGATGCTTTAATGAATCTCATAGGTCATTGCCATGTGAACTTGGTATACTATTTGCAGTTACTATTTTTATTTAGCTATCATGAGGTCTGTCCAAAGATTTTTTTTTTTTTCATTAATATCTGTTTTCCTAGTTTCTTTTTCATCTTGTATGGTCTTTTTAAATTTTTAGTGTTTTCTGTCCAGGTACAAGTTATCCCGCAAATAGTGCTCAAGAAGGTTATGCATTTCCAATGGTGCTGGGTGAAATGAAGGGCGTAAATTTACCAATGCCAAGTGCGGCTATGATGCCCTCTCCTATCTTTCTATGGAGGTTTAAGGTCTGATATTTTAGTATCTGTTTGGTCCTCATAAAATTCCCTCCCTTCTTTTTCTGATATGTAAAATAATAAATAAATAAGGCCTTTTTATTGTAATTTGTAAGCTCAGCCTCTAAAATTTTCGTACTTATCCTGTGTAAACTTTAATTTATGAACTCTTTAATTTTGATATATATGTATATTTTTTAAAAAAAAGAATTAATTGGTTTTCAGGTTCTATTATTTTTGCTGTGGGGCTTCATTTGCTGCAAGGTCAGTTTTAATATTGTTTCTCACATTTTATAGCTAGAGCTCATGACTAATATATTGAGGATGTGCTCAAGCTTCTTGATCACTCTATTAACAATCCAAAGTTGGTGATTTCTTTTTTGAATAGATTGGATGGGATTCAGTCATGAGAATGAGTGCAGATTTGCGAGATTTATTCTTGTATGAGGCCTTCTTGTACTATAACCCTCTTCTTCTTGTGGTTAGTTGACAATTATCTTTTTGGGCTTTTATTGCTCTTTTTTAGCAGATGCATGTGGATTCTTATTTGTTGCTCGTGTTATTACAGACAATGATGGTTTGGCTCTGGGGAGTCAGCTTATGGGTTTTCTCACAGGGCAGTGTTAACTATGCAAAAATTTTTGATCTTGATCAGAGTCATCTTACTCATAATGAAATATGGAAGGTACTCATGCTAAATGTTTGTCATGTCAATTGAATTATTTTTAGCAGCCACAGCTTCAATCTTATTAATAATTTTACCTTTAATTATTGTGAAGGAAATTTCACTCTTTACCATCTTCCTCTTGTCTTGGACTCTTGGTTTTTGTTTTTGACAATTTTTATGTAACACGTCATCTCAAACAAAG